AGAGTACAAAATAAATATAAATGGAATGAATATTTATTTATTTACTTCTCTATAATACAAATAAATAAGTATTTCTGGGTTTCTGAAATACTTATTGAGAAATGGTTATTTAGAAATGCAAAACATTAAAGAAGTATATGGCTGTCTTTGGAATTCTGTAAACAAGCAAAAAAATATATACTTAAATATTTACTTAAGAGTTTATTTGGTTTCATACTTTGGCACCAATTTCCTTCTTAATTTACTCATTTAGTAATTAAAACAAAATTAAAATTAAAATAAAATAAAAATTCAACATAAAATTATTGAAAAAATCGTTCAACATAAAAATTGAAATATTTATTGACTTGCTTGTTTATTTTCATGCTTAATCTACAAATTAATAAATATTTTCAGATGGTCTTGCTTATTATTTTTTGTCTATTTAAAAAGAGATTAATTTGTTCATTTTATTGTATATGTTTCTTTATAAAAATCTAAATAAGTAAATAAATGTGTTTGATAAATAAAATAAATGCACAATGTCATTTAGTATTTTTTGTACAGACTAAATAAAAAAATAAATACACTTTTTTTGGTATCTTTAATAGATGTCATGACAATCGGCCCTAAGTCAAGGTTCCGGCTGCAGTTCAACGTCAGCATCCCGAGCCACGAACAGATCATCACCGCTGAGCTGCAGCTCTTCTTCTTCCCAGACACCGGGTCAAATGTAACGTCGCAGAGTTTCAAAGCCGCAGTCAAAGTCTACGAAGCTAACGGCGACAACTCCACCTCGTCTTCACGTCCGCTGGACAGCGAAGACGTGTCGGCCTCGCAGAGCACGTGGGCCACGTTTGATGTGACGGCAGCCATTCGAAGCGGGACTGAGTCGGGCCGTGGCGCGACAGCACTCGACGTAGCGGTGGACAGGGAGGCCTGCGACAGAGCAGAGGAGGGAGCGGGCTGTCTGAACATGAGCGCGTCTGTCGGAGACGATTCCGCAGCTGCTTTAATAATCTTCTCAGATGACTTTAACAGCAGGAGGAGGGAGAGACAGAAAGAGCTCAGAGAGATGGCCCTCCATGAGGAAGATCCTTTCCTTCACACGGGGGCCGACTGGGACAGAGGCCATCGAGCGCCGCGCGAGACCCCCCGCGTTCGGCGCCCGCGGCGAACAAAACGGAAGGCGGACGGGGAGTACTGCCGCAGGACCTCGCTCAGGGTCAGCTTCAAAGACATCGGCTGGAACAGCTGGATCGTGGCGCCCCCGGAGTACGACGCCTTCGAGTGCCGAGGGGTGTGTTCCTACCCGCTGACGGACGAGTCCACCCCGTCGAGGCACGCCATCATCCAGACGCTGCTGAACCTCAGGGACCCCAAGAAGGCCAACATGGCTTGCTGCGTGCCCATAAAACTGGACCCCATAACGGTCATGTACAAAGAGAACGGGCGCATCACTATCAGATACCTTTATGAGGAAATGAAGGTGGCGGAGTGCGGTTGCAGGTAGTGGGAAAAGAGTCGGGATAAAGCAGGTGGAAGAGGTGGATTTTTTTGTGTTTTAAACACAGTTTATGCCAGAAAGATTGAAGGTTAAGCAGCTGTTGACTTGTGCTTACCCTAAGAGGGATGGTAAGGTATTCTCTATCAACACAATAGCGTCTAAAGTAGCATTGAAATAGTCGACATGCAGCTTTATCAGTCTCTCAAGCTACATTTTGTTTTGAATATTTTTTGATTATCTCTACAAAAAAAATCCACAAATACTGAACCTCAAACAGATGGGTTTCCACTGTAATGTCTTCAACACTCCTTTAATTAAGGGATTGCACTTTCAGCATTGGATTTCATTTGCCATTACCTTTTTGTTAAATTCAAATAACAAATCATTATTGGTAAGTAATTATTTTTCTAGCATTTGAAATGACACCAAGTTGCAGGAAACCAAAACACAGACACTTTTTGCATTAAGTATCTCAGACTTGTTAACAATACTATCCTCATCCCTGTTGACTAAAAAGTCTCCCCAGAGGATAATTATGCCATGTTTCACAGTTCAGGACTTTAATCTGGAACTTAACCCTTAAATTTTGAACCTAAGCTTCTTCCCTGTTCTCTAACAAACCACTGAGGCCAGAAGCAGAAATTGATTTACACTGAGATTAGATCTCACACAGGTGGACTCAATTTATTAAATATGTAGTTTATGGTGGTCTATAACATAAAAATCTCAAAATACATTAAAGTTTGTGGCTTTGATGTGTCAAAATGTGAAAAGTTTCCAGAGGTATGAGCATGTTCTCATTTGTAGGGTTTAATCTGAGGTTGTATTTAATATCTGACAAGAATCCTGTTTTTTTTATCAACTTCCAGTAAAAGCTTATAGTAGCAATAATAAAGTGAATAACTGATTTTTAGGCATCATAACAGCTCAATTTGTACATTAACTGGTAAATAGAAATGTGTTTAATAGTAATATGAACTTTATCAGTAGCCTGTAAATAACTGCTTTCATGTATTTGAATAAGTTATGCTATACATGGATGATTGATGCTTGTCTCTAATCGATTTTACCAATAAAATTATACAGTTTTGCTTCAAAATTCCTCTAAATTTGTAATGAGTCTTCAATCTCATTTCCTGCTTCTCATGTCACCACTTTTACAAAAAAAAGGTAATGTAAACAACATTAAAATAAAATTACACCACCCCATGTTTAACTATGATTCGTTTCCTGGAGGTACTTTGGATGTTCTTCTATGACCTCCTGCAGGATTTCCCACTGTTGGAGTCATTTCCAAAGGGTGGCCCTTCACCAATGTTTCTGTTTCAGTTTTTATTGCACATACTGTTAGATTTGTAAACATTTAAAGTCAGTGACACCAGCTTATCAGAAGTGGGAAGGACACATGATTGTGCAAATACTTGGACATCCTGTATTTGGGGCCCATAATTAATCTTGTTTAAGAATAGCATCAGAACCCAGGCCATCACCATTTAAATGTATGCAAAGCACCAAGAGAAAGGACACATTCCATGAAATCAAAATTAAAAATCATGGAGGCCCTCTACACAGGAATTAGATTTTTATACTGTAAGATGCAAACCAAGCCATTTTGCTCATCTAAACAGGCCCATCAGTCTAAGTTCTGAATCAGAAGCTCTGAGGGAAAGAGTCATCGCCAGGTGCAAACTGGCCAATCAGAAGCAGGCTTCACGAAATATGTGGTTTAAGTCACACTCCCCATAAAAGAAGGCATAGAGTCCAGGTAACATTTTATTCCTACCTCATTCTCAGCAGGAGGAAGAGCACCAGAGAGAAAACCCAAAAATGCCAGTAGCTGCATCTCCTTTGTCCATATAATTACCATATAAAAAATAAATTTGCATAATGGAAACAAGGCAATTTAAAAAAAAAAACAGCAACTTCGTTTTTCAATAAAACGTTTTGGTGCTGAGGTGGTTTTTCGAGCCGTATCAAAATTGGTTTATTCTGCAAATTTGCTATAGAAATACTTTTTTTCTGCATCACATACGTCACAAGACCAACAACTGGATGCTGCCACTGGTGCATAGCAAGAAGAAAAAGACACCAGGAAGTAGTTGGAGGATGATGTCGTGACATGTTTTTTAATGACTTAACATGTGAACAAACTTATTCAAGTGTGATTTTATTAGCATTTGTTATCTAATGGAAACACTGCATTTGCAAAATTGTGTTTTTTCGACAGTAGAAGAATATTGACAAAGTCTAGCACACATTGGTAATGGAAACGCCAATGCATAAGCTGTTCTCATACTGAAGGTTTTAAGCATCCTATTGTTATTCTATAAAAATACATGTCCACAGTTATGAGACACTCAGTTGTAAATAAATCTGGTTTTAAAGAAATGAGGAATTATTGATTAAACATGGATCATTTCAAATTTGTTTGAATATCATTATTTGCAAAAATAGTTATGTATAATTGAAGAATATTGACAAGAAATTCAGATCAGACTCTTAACATCTCAAGATCAATGTAAAAAAAAAAAACCCTCACACATACGGTTCCAAGAAAGCTCATGAATGAGTAAGGAGGTCATTTTGGCTAGATTTAAATGTCCTTGAAGGATATTATGAAGTGACCAGAGCAGTGAAATATGTTTTTGGGTTCACCACTGAGCTAATTTTCTAGTCTCTTTTATGAAAATAAAGAGGCAGACAACTGTTTTAGTTCATGCAAGTCTACTTAAATAATTCTAATCTCAGACAACCAATTCAACACATGAGAGTCAAAAAAATAACAAAAAATATCTCTGAGCTGTAGTGACCTCTTTAGATAATCCATGCATAGATTAAAACTGCTTTAAAGGCAAAAAATAAATGTGGCGTCCAGATTGGAACATCCCTTTTTTGTTTTTATTCTTGAACACTTATTTCTTGATGTAGGACGTCTTGCTTTATCTCTTTTGTTAAGCACCTTGAGTCTGATAACGTATATGTCCTCTTACCTGTTCAGATGACGAGCCCAACTCAAAGTCCACACAAAAGAATATTTGACAGAATTTTGTGTCATGATTAGCATCCAAGGTGTTGGCACAGACAGGCTTGTATTATGTAAGGCGTGAAAGGGCATTAAAAGTTAAGGGGTTTAAAATAACTGAACACCATGTGGTGTTGGAAAACAAGGTCCACATAGATGCATTTCGTCTGAGCTGAAAATGTTCCTGGATCAAGGTCTTGTACTAATATCAGCTGCCATGCCAGGATGGCTGGTATTTTTCCCCCCATCCAAATCAAATTTTGTGGCATTTTTTAGAGATCATGTAATTATGTCAGCCATAGAATGACCCAGACAAAATTTCCATTCTGTCATCTCTTGCGTGCTGACTGAACCACAAAAGATAATGAGATCAAGGGTTTATTTGAGACTAAAGCCTCTTATGCTGTATGTCTTTGTGGAAAAAAAAAACATTAAAAAAATACTTTATCTCTGGACACAGACTAACAGAGCTCACTTGACAGGACGCTTGAGATCTTTTATCCTCGTGAGACTTCAGTCATGACAAACCAACGGACATCACCCCTGTTGTGGATACTACTTCTATCAGCTCTACCTGTTACCTCATCCTTCCAGCCAGCTCTCATATTAGAAATTGCAAAGATTCTTATGCAGAACTACTGTCTTCCAGAGAAGCTTTTTGGGATGCAGGAAGCCATCCAACAAGTTATCACCAGTGGAGAAATCCTGCAGATTTCAGACAAGAAGACCCTCGCAAGTTTGCTCACAGCTGGAGTTCAAGGAGCCCTGAGGGATCCACGACTGACGGTGTCATATGAGGCTAATCCTGTTCCTGTTGTGCCGCCAGTACTGCAGACGCTCTCAAAAGATCAACTGAGGCGGCTGGTGAGAAACTCTTTAAAGTTGGATATTTTGGAAAACAACACTGGCTATTTACGCATAGATCAGATTATTGATCAAGAGACGGTAGCAAAGGCTGGCTCTCAACTGTGGGACAACGTCTGGAACAAGGTGGCTCAGACATCCTCGCTAATCTTCGATCTGAGGTACAACACAGGTGGAGAACTTTCTGGGGTTCCAGTGATAATCTCATATTTTTCAGATCCAGAGCCCCCCATTCATATTGACACAATATATGACAGGTCCTCAAATACAACCAAGGAGTTGTGGACCATGTCATCAATACCAGGGAAACGATACGGTAAGAAGAAGGATGTAATTATTTTGACAAGCAGGCGCACAATGGGGGCTGCTGAGGCTGTGGCATACACGCTAAAGAAACTTAAGCGAGCCATTATAGTGGGAGAACGATCAGCGGGTGGGTCAGTAAAAGTCCAAAAGATCAGAATTGCTCAGTCAGACTTCTACATAACAGTTCCCGTGGCAAGATCCATTAATCCAATCACAGGCCATAGCTGGGAAGTAAGTGGTGTTTCGCCAACAATCAATGTAATGGCAAAGAAAGCTGTCTCAAAGGCCAAATCCCTTTTGGCTCTGAGGTATGCCATCCCAAAGATTATGCAAATCATCTCGGACATAATGAGAGATACATATGCTTTCAGTGACAGAGTTTCAACACTTCTGCAACATTTGCAGTCAACAGACTTATTATCTGTAGGATCAGAGAAGGACTTAGCTGTTAGACTCAACCAGAACCTCCAGACTGCATCTGAAGATCCTCGATTAATTATCAGATACATGCAAGATGATGATGCTGGTATAGAACAGGACCATGAGCTTTATACAATACCAGATAATACGGAATTATTAAAGGCATACGTTAACAGAGTGTTCAAAGTGGAAGTTCTTCCAGGTAATACTGGGTATCTTCGTTTTGATGAGTTAGCAGAGACTTCTGCTGTACCTGAACTGGAAAAGCTCATGGCTCAAAAGATTTGGGAACCCCTCAAGGACACTGATAACTTGATCATTGATCTACGATACAACACACGTGGATCCTCTAATTCTTTGACACTTATGCTGTCTTACCTGTGTGACTGCTCCCAGAAACCGAACTTCTTCACAATAAATGACCGAATTAAGAACACAACAACAGAACACAAATCTCTTTCGAAGACTACAGGGCCAGTTTACAACTCCAGACATGGAGTTTATGTGCTAGCAAGTTACCACACTGCAAGCACTGGAGAAGAGCTTGCTTACCTGATACAGTCCTTAAGCTGTGGCACAGTTGTTGGAGAAATTACATCTGGCAACCTCATGCACTCAAAGACATTTGAGATAGAAGGGACAGACATTGCCATAACCGTCCCTTTTATAAACTTTATAGACAACAATGGGGAATACTGGCTGGGAGGTGGTGTTGTCCCTGATGCCATTGTACTGGCAGAGGAAGCTTTGGACCGTGTTTATGAAGTTATGGAGTTTCACAAGGGACTCAGGACCCTTATTGCAGGAGTTGGGGAACTGCTGGAGCAACACTATGCAATTGAAGAAGTAGCAATAAATGTAAGCCAGGTGCTGTTAACTAAATGGAGGGAGGGGCTGTATCGATCAGTGGTCGACTTTGAATCTTTGGCATCTCAAATGACAATTGATCTCCAGGAGAGCTCAGGTGATCACCGCATTCACGTCTTCCACTGCGATGTTGAACCTGAGTCACCTCATGACATCCCGAAGATGCCCTCACCAGAAGAGTTTGGATACATAGCTGAATCTTTGTTTAAAACTGAGGTTTTGCCAGGTAACATTGGTTATCTGCGCTTTGACATGATGCTGGACATAGAAGTGGTAAAAGGAGTTGGACCACAGCTCCTAAATTCAGTGTGGAAGAAGATGGTGAACACCGAAGCCCTCATAATTGATATGAGGTACAACACTGGTGGGTACTCCACAGCGGTTCCCCTCTTCTGTACGTATTTCTTTGATGCTGAACCACCACAGCATCTCTACACCATTTATGCCCGTGCAACCAACACCTTGACTAAAGTCATGACATTTTCTCACATTAGGGGTCAAAGATATGGATCCTCAAAGGACCTTTTCATCCTGACAAGTCATATGACGGGCTCACCAGCTGAATTATTTGCTCGCGCCATGAGTGACCTTAATCGAGCTACTGTTATTGGAGAGCCAACAATCGGAGGGTCTTTGTCCAGTGGGACCTATCAGATTAGGGACAGTGTACTGTACGCCTCCATTCCCAACCAGATTATTTTAAGTCCCACAACTGGGAAAGTGTGGAGCTTTTTGGGAGTGGAGCCACATGTTTCCACCCAGGTTACTGAAGCTCTTTCAGTAGCACAGACAATTATAGCAGCAAGGCTCAAGAAGAAAGAACAAGAACAATGAAAAAGGTATCCACTTTTAGAAGACGTTTATTACACATAGACAGAAGTTTTAATTTTGAAAGCATTTCCCGTAGATTATTGCTAAACTAATTGACAAAGGATGATGCTTAACAATACTACTATATTGCTATGTCCTCATATCAAGAATTAATGTGAATCATCAGATAATGTTTTCAAGGCATTTGTTTATGGCAGCATCATAAATGTCAAATTTATGCTTGTTCTTTGATCTGATCTTGTCATGTTGGACCCTTTGTAAGTCTACTGTTTATATAACTTTATTGTAATATTCAGTTATGAAGCATAAGTAACACAGGCCAACAGCACTGTAAATTGACAATTATGTCCTATCATATGAGATTACATACTTGAAGACGTGTATGTAAAATAAAAACACAAAAAGGAAAGAAGAGCATAAATTCCAGCAATATAAAGCGCATAAGAAGAGGTAGTTGGCTTAAAACCATAGGAAAATAATAATTTTGGTACTTATTGTGAGGTTTATGGCATCTGTGTTTTGAGTCCTCCTGAAAAGATTTTTTATGATTGAGATTGTGGTTAAATTAGAAGGATTTTCATCTTTGTATGTGAAATTTGCCCATCCACTTTAAGAATCTGGTTATGTGAGTTATTGGTTTGTTTTTCAGTTTATATATGCTTATTACATTTTCAGTGGCAATCATCACTTTGTGCCAACTTTTTGTCAATCTGAAATGTTCCACATTATTCCAAAGTAAATGAATAAAATAAATGTGGTGTCATCATCAGTTACGAAAAAAGCATGTAATATATATGTACATATAAATGAATTAGTTTGATTTGATTTGACATGTAGAACTGCTAATGATTTATCCAGACTTTTCACTAATTAATATTAGTGATAATTGAGTTAGAGTGACATGTTCCTCTGGTTTTTGGGAGGCTTTCCCTTTTACTTTTGCTCATGTATTTACTTTTTGTTATGTGAATTCCTCTAGTTATTAGTGCCTGTAGTTGGGCCTCCAGTGTTTGACTGGCTAAATGTAATTTCCTGAGTTAACTTGGTTAAGTTAATGTTTTTACTTTTGTTCAGGGAAAGTTATTTTGTGCTCCAATGTCCAGAAGAGGGCGATCTTACCAAGCAAACCTGTGGTTCCTGTTCACCTCAACTCAACTATGTTACTGCAAATAAATGTGTAAAATGAATCAAACAGTAATGCTTATGTCTCTGAAGTAATTGTTTTAGTTATTTAAAGGTTAGGAACAGATTAGCTGCCTGTTTCTTACAGGTATTGTTCTTGCAGTACTTGAAGTTTAGTTGTTGTTTTTTTTCTTCTTCTGCTTTCATATTAAACATGCAATAAAACTCATTCAACGCATTAAAAGGTTAATATTACAGATGATTTCAAATTGCATTTTGGCAATCAAACGACTTACTAAGGAACAATGAATGTTTGTGGCACTCTTAGAACCCTTCTAGATGTTTCTGTTATAAAACGGTGATTATCTGGCACAGACAGCCTTAAATAACTGTCCAGACTATATTGTGCAAAGACCAAGATCCCTGCCAACACCTTGTTACTACACATACATAGCTTGTTTGTTATTCTCTTCCGCAAACACTCAGGATAATGCGATTAAAAGTTTATAGCGGAGTAAATCCTCTTATAAAGATGTTATCAGAAACCTTACAGCCAAACCGGTGCCACTTGTCAAAGGACCGAACTAGAGACAGCTTCAAATTTTCCTATACGCTTACTTTTTCTCAGACAAAAAAAAAATGGGAAAGACTCTTTTTCTAGTGGCATCTCTGCTGCTTTTGGGGAATGTGTCTTTTCTGCATGCTTCGTTTCCACCTAGCCTTATTGAAGACTTGGCAAAAATCGTCATGAACAACTACTGCTCACCAGAGAAGCTGGTGGGGATGAAGGAGGACATTGCAGCAGCCACAAGCAACACTGAAGTACTCAACATCCCAGATGGTGAATTACTGGCCGACGTCCTAAGCAATGGAGTCCAAACCACCGTGAGTGATCCACGGCTGACGGTCTCCTATGAGCCAAACTATATTCCTGCGGTTCACCCGGAGATGCCTCCGCTGCCCCCTGAGCAGCTTATTACTATTCTCCAGTCAACCATCAAGCTAGACATCCTGGAAGGTAACATTGGCTATCTGAGAATTGATCACATCATTGGGGAGGAGGTTGCTGAGAAGGTTGGTGCTTTGCTTGTAGACCTTGTCTGGAATAAAATCTTGCCCACCTCAGCTCTGATCTTTGACCTACGCTACACCGGTAGTGGGGACATCTCTGGCATCCCTTACATAATCTCTTACTTCACCGAAGTTGAGCCTGTGATTCACATTGACAGCATATATGACCGACCCTCGAACACCACCACTAAGCTGATGTCTATGTCCACACTGTTGGGAGAGAGATACAGTGTGACCAAGCCTCTGATTGTACTCACTAGCAAAAACACAAAGGGCATCTCTGAAGATGTTGCCTATTGCTTCCAGAACCTGAAGAGAGCCACCATTGTTGGTGAGAAGACCGCTGGGGGCTCAGTGAAAGTCGATAAACTGAAAGTGGGCGACACCGACTTCTACGTTACGCTGCCTACTGCAAAGTCCATCAACCCCATTACAGGCTCAACCTGGGAACTGACAGGTGTTACCCCAGATGTGGAAGTGAGTGCAGAAGATGCCCTTGCTACTGCAATCAGGATTATCAACCTCCGAGTTCAAGTTCCAAGCATCATTGAGGAATCAGCCATCTTGATTGCCAACAATTACGCCTTTCAGAGTGTCGGGGCAGATGTTGCAGAAAAGCTGAGAGAGCTTTTGGCAAATGGAGAATTCAGCAGCATTGTTTGTAAAGAAAGTCTGGAGACAAAGCTGTCAGCTGACCTCAAGACCCTTTCCGGTGACAAGAGTCTGCAGACCACCACCAACACCCCAGCCCTACCACCAATGGTAAATTGATTTTTTTCTTTCATTGTTTGATTGGTATGTTGTCAAAGGTTCTTTTAAGGTAGACAGCAAACTTTGGGTAATCTCCAACTGAAGATGGCTTAAAGAGAACTTTCTTTAAATATGGAGTACATTAAGTTGTACAAATGCTTTCAGATGCTTCAATCTGGAAGCATCAGAAAGTAAGTTCAAAAATATTTTAATGTGAGATGTCTTTTGTGATGCAAATGTCTGTCTGTGTTCGTTTTGCAGGAATATTCTCCAGAGATGTACATTGAGCTGATCAAAATCTCCTTCCACACTGATGTGTTCGAAAACAACATTGGCTATCTCCGATTTGATATGTTTGGAGACTTTGAAGAAGTCAAGCCGATTGCCCAGATTATTGTGGAGCACATCTGGAACAAAGTTGTGAACACAAATGCTATGATCATCGACCTCAGGTGGGTTTTCTTTTCTGAATTATTTTAGCTCATGTGTAAATTGTACCTATTGATGTATATTGCCATCTCAACAAAGACAACTAAACTTAGCTTATTCTTTGAGTTTCTGTGGGACCCTGCCTTTCTCGAATGCGTAAAAATGTAAAGGTTCGGAAACAAAAATGTTCTTTTTGTTGTTTTGTTTTTTTCGTTGATTTGCAGGAACAATCTTGGTGGACCGACAACAGCCATAGCGGGTTTCTGCTCTTACTTCTTCGATGGGGACAAGGAGATTCTTCTAGATAAACTCTACGACAGATCATCTGGAACCACAACTGAGCTGCGAACTCTGGACGAACTTACTGGTAATAAAAAGACAATTAGCATTATTGTAAAAAAAAATACCTTTGCTACAGTGAAGGAAGTTGACTAAGAGTTATCCAACTTGATTTCAACCATTCTTTCAGGTGCAAGGTATGGCTCCAAGAAAAGCCTCATCATTTTGACCAGCAAGGCTACGGCGAGCGCTGCGGAGGAGTTCGTTTACATCATGAAAAAGCTAGGCCGCGCCATGATTATTGGTGAGACCACTGCCGGGGGTTCCCACCCACCAAAGGTCTTCCCTGTTGGTGAGAGCAACATCTTCCTCAGCATCCCCACAGTCCACTCCGAGACTTCAGCTGGGCCAGCCTGGGAGGGAGTGGGAATCACACCCCACATCCCCGCCGCGGCTGAAGCTGCCCTTGAGGTGGCCAAGGGCATCTTAAACAAGCACCTGGGAGGCCAGCAGTAAACCTCGTGGCGTGGAGATCTCTGTTTCCCCTTGGCAATGAATTCTGGGCTTGTTTGTGAGAACAGTGTAGGTCAGAGTATGCTGTTCCTAGTTCTCAAAATACTTAAACCTTGTTGTTTTTTGCAATGTAGAGGTTCGGTTTTACGTAGGGTAATGACGGCTATTACCGCAAAATGAATGGAAGTGGAAAAACTATTGTAATTCTTGTGTAAATGTGAGTCTTACTGCATGTGTGAGTGAGAAAGTGGATGTAATATGCCTTCGACATTTGCTTTTCCTTTGTTGTGCTGTGGGCTTGATATGCCAGGTTTGAAAAATAATCACTTTAAATATCTAACGTCTCCACATGTAAAGTCGTAACTGTGGATGTAAAATGATGTTTGTCCTAAATTTCACGTCATGTGGACCTACTTGGGTTGTATCAATTCCAAGGGTGAGACCCAATAAAAATGGTTCATAACTGTGTACCTCATTTTAATTTAATGTGAAGAAGAAACAAAAGGTTCCTTTCAAAAAACACGTTCGAAATACAACTTAGAGTTAATTCAGTCCGAAACATTTCCTAGACTCTTGCACCCATTGGCACTAACACAAAGGCAACGCAAGTTTATTTGTACATCACCACTAATGCACAAAAATAATTGGAGGTGCTTTACAGTAAAAATTTTACATTTGTCTTAAAATTAAAGTTATATAGGTTTAAGCAATGTTAAGCTTGGGTTCAAGAGTAAACAATAAATTTGTCAAGTAGGGGACAAAGTGTTGACAACTGTGGTGGTGTTGGGTATGAAGTCGACTTCATGAGATTGTGTGAAGACTTAAACAGGAGCAGATTAAAGCTCCATTACAAGCAAATATTTCTCAGAAGAAAAAGAAAATAAAATTAACTGTGGACAGAAAATAAATCAGGTAATAACAAAATTGAATTTCTCCCAATACACTAGTTCCCAGCTACAGTCCAAAACATGCATGTTAGGTTTATTGGAGATAATAATTAAAAATAATAAACTTTATTTATGCATCACCTTCCAACAATGTCTTGAAGAAAGTGTTTTATAAAATAAATAATTGCAGGGTGCAATAAAACGGAATGAGTGCTAGTTAAAAATAAAACCATGATAAAAGAAGGTAAAAAGAAATTAAAAAGAAAAAAAAAAATATATATATATATATATATATATATATATATATCTCGAAGGGGGGAGATCGAAGTGGGGAACACCCCCAAAGGTGGTGGAGAATGACCGAGCTAAAATCCTGTGGGACTTCCAGATCCAGACAGACAAGATGGTAATGGCAAACCAACCGGACATTGTGGTGGATAAAGAACAGAGGAAAGCCGTTGTTGTGGATGTAGCAATACCAAGTGACCACAACATCAGGAAAAAGGAGAAACTGGAGAAATACCAGGGCCTAAGAGTGGAACTGGAGAAGGCCTGGAAGGTGAAGACCACAGTGGTGCCTGTGGTCATCGGGGCCCTCGGGGCCCTCGGGGCAGTCACCCCCAAACTGGAGCAGTGGCTCAAACAGATCCCAGGAACAACATCAGACATCTCAGTCCAGAAATGTGCAGTTCTAGGCACAGCCAAGATACTGGAGGACCCTCAAGCTCCCAGGCCTCTGGTAGAGGACCCGAGCTCAGAGGATGAAAGAGAGAGACCACCCGCGGAGAGTGAGAAGGGAATTTTTTTTTTATATATATAAAATTACAGACTGATTGATGGCAACTTATAAAACATTACAGTAACCAAGCCAAGAGCTAACCAGGCATGGCAGACCTTCTCCAGATCACAACAAGGAGTGCCTGAACTTTAGAAAGCAGGGAGAGCTGAAAGAAGCTTGTTTTAGCAACACAATCAAACTGTTTATGGAGTTTTAAGCTACAATCAAGGTTGAGTCTTAGATTTTTTCCCACCTTATTGGTGAGCGGGTACAAAAGACCTAATCTGGGAGAAATACTATATGAAATACTGGAAGAGTCAAACAAAATCCATTTGGCCTTGTTCTTATTTAAGTGGAGAAAAGATTTGAGAAAGCCATTAATGTTGCCTTTGGAGTTTAGCCTCTTCCACACATTTGCACAGTATTGAAGAGTCACAAGAAGAAAAGCCATAAGGACACATGCAAAAGGAGCTCTGATCAGATGAAACCAAAGCTCAACATTCTGATCTGATCTACATGCTAAACACAAACTGTGGAAGAAAACTAGTTTTAGATATCAGTGTGAGCACACCGTCCGAGGCATGAAACATGGCAGAGGCAGAATCAGGCTATGGTGATGCTTTTCACAACAGGGTCAAGAAAACTTGAAGATGGTTAGAGTTTAACAGAGGCAATCCTAGAAAAAAACACTATTAGCTGCAGAACAGATTGGGACAGAGCAGTTCTGGGCGCACTTAGGCTAATCTGCTAATAGTTGAACCAATTTTTTATTCAGCATTTCAGCGCTTTGCTAACTGTGAAAATATTTAGTGTACTTAGCATTCTTAGCTTCCTTAGCATTTGCTAACTTTGGAAACGTTTAGCACTCTTGTCTTCCACTGAATTATTTTTTTCCCCATGAATTCTAATTTACTTGGCTGTTTTGAAAACATTCAATAGAATAAAGTTTGACATCTGTGTTGAGGGTTAGGTTATTGACTATTAATAATTCTTCAAGTAGTTAGACATTTATATTCATGCTCTATTCAGGTTTCGTTTCTTCTTCTCATGTTTTCCCTCACTTATTATTATTTTTATTTTTATTTTTTGCAATAACTGAATTTCAAACAAGAAACCTACAGGAACAAAATAAAACATGGACAGTAGATATAAATACAATACCTCAGTGCATTATAGAACATGTCAATTGTAATACCAAAATTACATTGGTGCTTATCGTCTTTCAAGGGAAAAGATCATTTTAATTGAAGTTAGCTCTTTAGCACTTTAACATTAGCTTCCTCTAAATACCGTGTTGTGTAATACAATAGTCTAAGTGCTTTGGGTTTGGGAGAACTAATTTTTCCCACCAATGGGACAAAGCTTCACTTTCTACCAGGACGAAATTAAATATTCATTTATCTGCATGTATTTATTTTCTGATTGCCTTAAAATTCTTTTAGCCAGTAATTGACTCTTTAGCATTAGTTTATATTTTTATGTCACCTTAGCCACGGTCATGAAAATATGTGAGATTATCTATGATGTTTGACTTATCAAACACCGTAAAGGTGAGCTAAACATGTACAGTTCTCCTTATTAGTGTGAGGTTTCTTGATAAAAGTCAAAAATCCTATTGTACGGTAACCTTTCTGCAAAAAGTGCTATTTCAGTTATTTCAGCCTTTTGTTTATTAAGCTATATTTCCAAGAACACGGAAATATAGCTCTACACTGCAAAAACACAAAATCTTAGCAAGTCTTGTTTTTTTGTGTAAATATCTTAGCATACTTGAAATAAGACAAAACAAACTTACAGGTAACTCTACAGGAACAAGAACCTTTTCTTCAGTATTAATGAATCTTTGACTTACAACAAGCTCCTAAATCTTCCTGAAAAGTTACCTTGTTGTCTTATTTCAAGTGTGCTAAGGTATACTATTTGCACCAAAAACTAGTCCAAAAACACTTTCTAGGTTTTTGTGTTTTTGCAGTGTACTAAGAAAATCAAAGGCTATATGAACAGCTAAGCTTAATTTAGTGTAAAGAAAGGTGTTGATGAAGATCCTGTGCTGATAAAGGATTGTAATAATCACTCTGGAGCATTGTTTGGTTCGACACATCCCATTCCCTGGTAAAAGTCTCCTGTCAGCCATGAGGGAGGTGCAAAATCGGATTTTAACCCATTTCCCCCCCGTCTGTCTCTCCTCCTCAGGATGAAACATGAAACCTGGGCCACTTCAGTGGAGTCTGTCCCATGGGCTCCCACTTCTTCCAGCGCCAAACACCACCGCTCTGCAGAGCCCAGATCCCATTCGGCATTTTTCACCTCCAAACTGAGACCTTGGCAGAACACTGCTTTTTAAAAACAAATCATTTCGTCAGCTGACATTAGATGTTTTTCTTGGATGTGCGGGAAGGGGGTGAAAAAAATGCAATTCTTCTGCATCTGAGAAAAAGCATCTCTCCATCTGAGACTGTCACTGGACTGGTCGTGGTTATGCACTGAGCTTTAAGCTGAAAGACTTTTCTTTTCCACTAGCCGAACTTTCCGTAAGAGCGGAGAGGAAAAACCATAACTTTTTTTGTGTTCCTGCAAAAGACTAAGGAGTAAAAGTTTGGAGAACTGTGCTGAACATGCGTCCGGTTCTGGTTCTGGTCGGATTATTTCTGCTCTCTTCTCCATCAGCAAGAGGGGAGCCAGAGCTGCTGGAGGAGGAAGAGGAGGAGGAGGAGGAGAGCTCCTGTCACGGCGCCTTTGACCTGTACTTTGTGCTCGATAAGTAAGTGGAACCGATTCGGCTGGTCATTTGAAAGGCACTAAAAACTAAGAGAAAAGCAGAATGTTGTTGCAAAACTGTCAAATGCTCAGAGACACAGTGAGTTTTTCCCTCTTTGGTTTGGATTTCCATGCCTTCATTCAGGGGAAAATAAAGTGACAAATGCAAGCATGAGGAGAAAACTAGGACAAAATTCTTGAGAAATTCAGCAACAAAGCAGCACAACATTGAAAGCGTTCATCTTACATCCAAACATAAAATAACACTGATAACTGTTAGAAAGTTACGATTTAAACCATGTTTAAAGCTAATCTGCCATTTGTGTTGGTTGGTAAGCATCTGCAGCCTCAAGCAATGACGCTGGTAAACTGAATGGAGTTTTGCTGACGAAGCGAAAAGCAGCAGCGATGACGTGAGAGCCACAAAATCGGTCTGTATGGAGGGCCAAACGTGCTAGAAGGAAAATGCCTAATTCACCAAATATGTTATCAATTACACAATATAAGAAATATATGTTTCATTTACAAAAGGCACTTGCAATTGTTTTTGCCATTTAATTTTTAATTTCACAAAGACGTGCTGCTGTACATGTCATATTTAGTTAATCTGTCAGTCAGTTGGGCTAACACAGCTCTGGTCAACATGATTGGTCGGAGGTTGAGTTGCTAGGCAGGCTAACCAATCACATGTTGAAGACAAATTGATAGGTCACAGTGATCATAATACATTTTAATTTAAGTTCTTGTTCTTGTTTGATTGATTTATTTGATAAGTAGTAATGACACTTAATTAATATCTATTTATTTGAAAAACTATTGTGAGATGTCTAAGTAATTATGCAAACAGAAATATGTCTACTGAATTGTGGCACTTTTGGCCTTCCATAGACCACCTCTTCAACTCCACTGTCATAAACTATCAGGTCACATCATTCCCCCCAAAAAAGCAAACCCTCAAATATGTCGTGGTTTTTTTTCCCTAAAGGTAGCGATTCGTCTTACCTCAGTGACCCCGTCACTGACCACTCTTTTCTTTTCCGTGCTGTACGCCCACATAGGAAAAATGTTGTGGCTAGGTGACAGCACTGGACTTCCGCAGCTGGAGAGAATATAAATACAAGAGACACTTCTGGAGTGCTCGCTGTTTTCCGTGTGTCTGGTTTCCGTCATTTTACACCAACCGTACAACCTCTTTTCCATTCAGATTAGTGACTGAAATAAAGAACAACTGAGATGAACCACATCCACCTAAAATATACTCTAATTAGGCCACACCAAAGGAATAACTTTTGACCCGCATTGTTCAGTGTAATAGTTTACCATGTCTATTACTGACTTGGATTATCAACTATAATGTGACTGGAAGAAATGAAAAGTGAAAAAATAGGGGTGTAATGAGTTCATGCTATGAGATCTTGTGATATTTAGACTCCACAATGTTTCTTAAAGCTAAGACTTGCAGGTTGTTATCTAATTGCTCTTCATAGTACTTTTTCTGAATAATTAAAATACATTTATTGTAATGATCCTCTGATTTGAAGGGGGAAATTTTCCATAAACCTCTCCTAGAGACTTTTCTTTCAATCAGAAGGGAGTTGATATTTAGTTTGATCTAGTTTTTTCTTTTTAGTGTTGTATTTGACAGGTGACTTTAGAGACAGATTGTTGAGTTGACAACACATGGTCACATAAGAAATGAAATGACATTTAAATGGTCTATCTTGCAGTATTTTCTGTACTCGGCCTAAACAAAAAGGCATCATTTTTCAATTAACAATGTTAAATATTGTCATCTGACTTATGGCCTCCTATCACCATTCAAGCAAAGAATATGATTTCAATACACACAATCCAGACTGGAACTGATCATCTATTGTACTTAGACTGATTAAACCTGAATTATTCTGTACCGATTTTTTTTTTTTTTTTTTTTTTTTTAAATTCCCCAAAGGTTTCCAAAATTAAAAAATATTTTTTAAAAAAAATT